GTCTAGAAAACAGGAAGCCGAATGGTGACAATTGAAGAAAAAGAGAGAAAAAGTATTGGTGCTCACACACACACACACACACACACACACACACACACACACACACTATAAAAAAAACTTGCACCAATGAAAAGTACATATAAAAAAGAAAAATCAAGAAGTATAAACTGTCAATTGCTGATACCCTCTGATGAGTGGATAGAGTGATTCCTAGAAGGTCTGTCTATGAAGTTGGGATGTTGATGGTAACATTAATCAGCTAAGTGATAAACCTTTTACTTGTACTAATTCTATATTTGAACACATTTTTTTTTATAATTATTACAAATATCCTAACGATCACATAATTTGTAATATTTAAACTTATCAATTATTTGTTTATTTCAAATTAATTACACATTCAATTTATTTTGTTTTATATTATTGACTTTCATAAAATATTAAATATATTGTTTTTACTCACAACTTTATCTACAAACATTTGATAAGAGGCAAAAGAAGAATAGCATTAGATTTTCATTTTAGGATTCTTAGAGGAATTGATTTCATTATTATTTTGTGTCTGTAGGAACTGCTGAAAGAACTGTTGAGGAGGTGGAAATGGATAATCTAGAAGACAGAGCCTTGTTGTTGTTACTGTTGTGGAGGTTAATTCCTTCCCTGTCTTGGCTAACATAAATCCAAATAAAAAGAATACATTGAGTATGGGTAAATAAATGTATAATTTATTTACATATATACAAAACTACTAACTTCAATCTGTTCTTTTGCTAAGGCAACAGGGAGAGAGAGAATGATGAAATTAGAAGTGAAATAGACATTGGTGATGCCTGTCATTGTCAGTGGTGTTTTTTCTCTCAATGTGTCACTGTTGACAATATAACACTGGTCTGTGTTGCATCTTTCTCTCTCAGCTTGCTAGTATTGACATCAAACGTTGGTTTGTTTCAGGTCTGTTTAAATTTGAGAATATATGGCCATCAATTCATTGGCCGAACAGCCAGTACTATTTTTGGTCAAAATTTATAAAATCTTTTTCTTAAAACAATTTTTTAGGGAAACGGGTTTCTCATGTTCAGTAGCTGTTGTTGCTCTTTTCAGTATTGATGGAGGTTTCCTTCCTAACCTTTTATTTAAAGTAGTGTGGAAAATCAATATCCTGATTATATAATTATTTTCTCTTCAAGTTACATATGCTATCCATTTTAGTTGTTGTTGCTGTTGGTAGTCTTCAAGTGATGCAAGTGATGCTATTTCTGTTATTTGGTACAGTTCTAATTCTGTATCACCAGTCCACAATTTTCAAAAAAGGATGATCTTCACCAAGACCAACAGGCTTCACTGGCTCAGAGCCATTTTTAACCCTTGCTCTGAGAAAGCGGTTGTGTACAACTGACAGTTTAGATATTTCTGAACCAGTTTGATGCTATGCATGACATCCATATGAAAGTCTTGATCTGACAAGGCTAATTAAGAACATGACTCAAGTTTTCAGGTTGATGTTTTGGTTTTGTAGCAATTTGAGGTGTTTGATGAAACTACCTCCACTGCAGCCTTTTCTATGTTCAATTTTCTTTTCTCCTATACTAAATTTGTTATAACTGATCCATACACTAAGGTATTTGAAGTGTTTAGTATTTACTAATTCCACATCCTGAATTTTTACAATGGATTCATTTTAGGTGTCTGTTTTTAGGTGACTGTTTTCATTCCAATTCCAGATCGTAGTTTCTGTTTTGGAAGGGTTTAACTTGAGTCCTGTTTCTTTAAACACTTGGTAGAGGATGCCGAGTTTCTGTTCTATAGTCAGCTTCTTCTGGCTTTTAATAAATGTCTGGAATCCGTTTCCTTCTACCAACAGAGTAGCAGTATGAACTGAGGTCAAACAATCAAACAACATGTGTCTCCCTTGATTGCTATGGTAATTGCACTGCTGTCTATCGCCTCTTTAAGCACTTTTTATAGATTGAGTTACAGTTCATATTTGGATATGCTCAAAGAGATTCTTGCAAAAGTCTATCCAACTCCAAGATCTATCTTTTGTAAATATACAACTTGTAAAGCTGCTATTTTATTTTGGGGAATATTTTACATGTGAGACACGTCCAAATCCATTATTGTCCCAGAGGTAAACCATTTTCTCCAGTGTTACAAATATTCTTATTCCAACTATGAATGCCTATGTCATCAGCAGAGGCCCTTTATCAGGTATTCTCACAATTCATATTACTTCTTTGTGAAAGATTATAAATTTAAAACATGAAAAAAAAACAAAAAGAAAGAAAAATTCATTATTAAATCCCAACAGAAGTCAATTTCCAAATTTTGTTCTTCAAACCTTGAAGTGTACTCATGAAAATTTCTTTGATCTTTTATCATTGAAATCTCAAATGTCAAAAATATTCAAAGATAAAACTTACATGTCAAAAATATTCAAAGATAAAACTGACTGTAATAGAATTTTAACTTTTATAAAATTGAATGACTTGGAACTAGAAGTAGCTGGACAATTCTGAATTAATTTTAAAAGTTCCAGCAACAGCTGCATTTGTGCAATGTCTCTGCTTTGCATTAAATTGAAACTTATTGAAGAAATGAATTACCGTAATTCCCTATGTATAATATGCATTTTTTTCTAAAAAATAATAAGCAAAATCAGGGGTGCATATTATGCACAGCTACAAAACATCTTTAAAAAATTGCCATAAATAAAATAAAAATTATCATAAAACTAAACTAGAATAATATTATTCTATGTTTGAATGCATTTATTTAAAATAAGAGTAGGAAATGCTGGCTGTAATAAAATTGGTTTGATTACCAAACAAGGTGTGCATATTATGCGTGAGTAGAAGCATTTTCCCACTCTTTCAGCAGAATTTTAGGTGCGCATATTATGGATGAAGGTGTATTATACATGGGGAATGATAAAACTTATTAAAGAAACAAATTAAATGTTTGAATTGAATTAAAACTTACTCTAGAAACTGTGGGTTACTCCACTTGGCTCTGCCAAAAGCACACACTCTTTAAGCCTATAAATAGGCAATGATATTCTCACTCACTCTTTTTTAGCCCTTTTTAGCTCTTTCAGATGTAGTTGCATGTGGGTAAAGTGTTTATTTTATGGTTTTCTCTTTCTCTCTTGACTTTTGTACTCTCTCACACACACATATACACACACACACGTCTATTACACAGACTTGTTACACACACAGAAACATGCATGTTCTTATTATAATTTGTTTTAATGCTTTTTCCTTTCATTACAATTGTCTAGACTTGTAATTCATTTTGTTAATACATGCATTGTCATTTTTTTTATATTTATTGTTTTGTTTAACTCATTTTTACCTGGACTCACATTGAGTCTACCAATATTGTTTGCGGGATAAATGTTTCGGAGTTCATAAATATTTACTATCCAAACTGTTGATTCCTGTAACATAATAGTGACTGATATTTACCCAAACATACTAGTACCTCACAACAAAACATTGAAATGAATTAAAATGTACTCAAGAAATTCTTCTTTTTATTAAATACTAAACCCTATCAATTACAAGGCTCAAGCTCAACTCAAGGTAGAGGGTTATTGTTAAAACTATTAGAATAGAACTGTCAGTTGCATGTAGATAGTTCAACAGTAAAACAATGAGACCTAGTTGTCAATCTAGTAGTACGCTTAAATTCATGCAGTCAAAGTACGAAGGAGAATAGCTCATCAAAACAATTGAGATGAAAATATTTGTAGAAAAGACTGAGGGAAACCACATCATGATGGTGAGAAAGTGACTGTTAGCATTTCTATCAAGTGAAAAAGAGTTATCACAAGATCTTGCAAGCAAGTTCATACAGTAAATGTTTAGTTTATAGGAAAAAATCCTATATATATTTTTTCAACCATTAAAATCCCCTCAGAAGGTTTGTTGGATAAACAATCATTACATGGGCAAATACCACCAAAATACTTGGCAGACGTAGTTGAAGATCTACCACGTGTTATTTTTGGACCATTTAAAAATTTAAAAAATAATAACTCCCTTCACCATTCCCACAAATTTGAGAAAAAGATTTTCACAAGCCAGTGTGAAATTATTTTCTAACCAATGAAAAACTTGTATTCAAAAAATTCACACATCTATTTTGAATCCCCTTACAGATATAAAAATGGAAGCATGCTACTTTTCGAGGCTCACAACAATTTGGGAGGCCAGTTTGATCTACATGTGTGTAAATGTACTGCGCACATACATACACACACATGGACACACACAATGGAAGAGAGACAATCAGCAGATGCTGGCTATGGCCTTAACAACACACACAATAGATGGGATTAACCAGCAACCGCATACTAAGCCTTTTTTCTATGAACTCACAAACACATTAGGCTGACCATCATAACATAAGTCACTTCACACATCTCACACAGCATTATGAATGCTTAATTACTTTATAAAACAAACTTCATAGCAAGGAAAATTGAACATTTTATTGCTATTGTATATCTCTGAAAAGAATATGTAAATGTTATTTCAAGTGACGTTCTGCTTCTACTTTTCCTTCAGAAAATAACTTTTTTATGTCTCATTTAAAAGATGTGTTGCTGTTGTTAATGTTTGGAACCCCAACACTCAGATAGCGACAAAAACCTGGATAGATGAATCCCAACAAGTTCATAAGGCATGAAGAATTATGTTGATCAATGTTTTATATGGTAAGATAACATTTTACGCTACTGCTTTTTATTCATATGCCAAATTAATAAAAATGATTAATTTTCATATGATATAACACTGTTATTTGCTGATCTCAGCATATTTTTCAGGACATGCTACTGGTGTATACAATAGTAAAAAAAGACATTCAGCTACAAATTTGAAGTGGATCCAAGAGATGATAGGAAATAAAGCTTTAAAAAATGGCTCACAACAGAACCAAATAAATATAATGATAAAAGCAGCCTAATGTCAAATGATGGCTGAATAAGTACTCACCAGGTCCAGGTATATTATTATCATGAGCTGGTGCATACCATCTTCCTGTAGTGGAAACAAACGCTGAGCTCGACATGTACTGTTTAGGTCTTTCTTCAAAATCAGAAGGAATGTTGTAGGTGCCTGGACCAGGATATGGAGGATCTGATGGAAGTTGTAAAGCAGGCGCTGACAGACAAAGGTAGTGTTTTCGCCTAGAAAACATAAAATTTACAAAAAGAACATTTCATTTTTATAGATGATCTCACACACACACACAAATTGAAAATGTAGTTGAAATCTGTAAGAATGATTAATGAGGAAAAGTATAAAAATCGTTATAAATTTATCAGAAATTTTGGATAATATGTGTAACAAAATTAATAAAAAGGAACAAATACGAAAATCTTTATAAATTCAACGTTTCATTAGTTAGCTTTATCAGAAATTTTTCTGAGTGAAATAATGTCAGGTTACTACATGTGCAAAATATTTCTAATGAAACTAAATAATTAGTGAAACATTAAATTTATGTACATTTTTGTCCTCGTTGCTTATTTAATCATCTTGTTGCCTATTCACAAAAATCTCAGATGAAGCTAAATAAATAGCTATATGTTAAATTTATAAAGATTTTCCTACTAAATAGAGTGTACCAAGAGCACTTGATGGAAGGGATTGCCATTGACAGAACATGTGCAGTGCAGTGGCCAAGCACAAAGCCTTAATGATTGTATCCAGAATTGTCTAGCTTGAATTGTCTGCAGACAAGTGAAACTGACTCAAATACTATCTGCATTCAATGCAGGATGTAGCAGATATATATCCTGCAAGTCAGTTCAGTTCAGCATAATTCAACTTACACAGGATAAGGGAGCTGACATCCCACTAAGCTGCCTTGTTAACACTATGAGATCAAACACAACACCTAACCTCAATTTGAGACATTACTATTCGTACCCTGGAGCACTAGCAACATGAGGTGTGATCTGATAACTGAGAGTTCTAATTGTTTCAAGCTGATGTTAGTGTTTGGGTGTTGTGCTCATGAAACCACAGGCCCCAGCAATCAACAAGACATTATTTCCATAAGAGTGTAGATCTGTTCATGTGGCTGTGGAATAGGTTGGGTCTGCTGGTCTACCTAAGCACATGATGGTTTATTCCAGCAGGATAATGCTCTGTTATCATTATAATTGGTTTGAAGAGCATTCTGGCAACTTTCAAAATGGTGTGGCCACCATGTTTTCCCTAACATAAGCCCAAATTGAGCATGTCTGCACTTTGGTGAAGAAATCTATTTACATGCAAGATCTTACACTTAAAAATATCTGTGGACAGCTAACAAAATAATGTGGCTCAATGTCACTCTAAAGGTTTTGTTAATTTATGAAGGATGACTGGGATTGAAAGAGAATGAGAAAATTTTAGTGAAGAGAAAGGACAATTAAAGAACAGGATTCAGGAAGAAAGAAGATAATGATTGGCATTGTATTTATATTTTTGAAGAGTGTACATGGCAGGGAAGCAAAAAAACTGGAGAAAGTTCCACACATAAGAAGTGTGAGAAAAGAAACTATTAGAATAGAAATTACAGCTACATCTATTTCAACAGTAAAATGGTGAGATCTGGTTGCCAATCTAGTACTAAGCCTAAATTCATGCAAGGAGGAAAGCTCATCAGAACAGTTGCCATGAAAATATTTATATCTGTCTATATTTCTGAGATGAGGTATTAAGTACACTATTTACAGTATTTGGACTAGTGTTCTCATCTTTGTTGCCATATTTATCACAACATTTTGGCTGTTGTATGCTCTGGCTTTCTTCAGGTGGTTGGAATGTCAAACTGAACCCTTTATTTCACTCGCTGGGGTAGACTGTTCTAGTTCCATGTGCCATGTCTAATGGATGTCAGTTATCTCATGTTAATTCACCTCTCCAAGTTCTCCACTGCCTTAACCAGATATTGAACTAACAACTTTTTGGGTCCTGTCACTGGATCTAACAAACATCTTTATCCACTGTGCCATGTGTCCTTAAGGAACTAGAACAGTCTACCCCAGTGAGTGAAATAAAGGGTTCAGTTCGATATTCCAACCACCTGAAGAAGGCCAGAGCATACAACGGCCAAAACATTGTAATAAATATGGCAACAAAGATGAGGACAATAGTCTGAATAATGTAAATAGTGAAAATATTTATAGAAAAGACAAATAGAAGCCATGTCATGGCAGTGGGAAAGTGACTGAAGTTGAGATGCCAAGTTAGGACTGATTAAATTACAGACCCTTCTTTAGATTTTAGCAAGAATCACAAAATATATTGTAGGAGCACAAGACCAAATATGGTAGCAATATTCAATGCATGGAGAAATGCTTGATTTATAAATGTGCAAGATGGATTCTCATATGGTACAGTGAACCAACTTTCCTAGCAGTGGACCTAGTAATTGATTTGATATAATCACTTCACTTGATGTCAGTGGAAAACATGAGCCCAAAAAAGCAGAAAGAGTTGTTCTCCTGGAGATTAGCATCAGTACTTTGTCCTTCACAAAATACCATCAACACCTCCATAACTTCACTCTTGTGAACAGACACTGTTGAGAAGTTCCTCATGAAATGACCAATGACCAGACTCAACGATTTGTAAACATTTGCAAACAATTGACAGTAAATCCTGAAGATGCACTTTTTTGGCATCAAAATGTAACTAGGGATAAAAAATGAATCTTTTTTTGTAATCCTCATGAGAGAATTCAGTGGCTTCATTCTGGCTAGGCTCAGAACTTGTCAAACAAGGGTAGTTTCAACAGAAGGTCATGTTGTGTTTTGTGGAATTTTGAGGAGATGTTACACTTGACTTTCTCACAGATGGTTATACGGTGAATACTGACCATTATGCTCAATAACTGAAGTGATTATATGATGCTTTGAAACCCCACGAGCTGGCATTAGTCAATCAAAGACGTCTACTCCTACAGCATAACAATACTCCAACACACACTGGCAACATAACCAATTGTAAACTTAAGGAACTTGAGGGTCTGGAAGTGCTCCCTCAACATACCTACATGAAGTTGAAAACAGGTGCAGGGAGTATTATGGCTTTAAAGCAGCCAAATGGTACAAGTGTGGAATTGAACTTCTGGCACAATAATGACAACAGACAATAGAATATGATTGGATATATTTTGAAAAAGAAATACTTTTAATATGTAATTTGTTAGAACTATTAATTAAAGCTTACAATATGAAAAAATTTTCTGACTTGTCTTTGTGTTCTTGACAAATCTATGATATAAAACAAAAACACATGCACACATATTCATAAGTGCAAACTAATGATCAAAGAACACATTCATTTTACACAAATACATTTTTCAATCACTATCTTATTCCTTGTTAATGTATTTAATTCAGTAGTGATATTAATCAGTAGTAATATGAATTACATAGAGCAAATAATATGTAGTGAAACATTCAGATCAAAATTCAAGTATTAAATGCATCAAGATGTGAACTTATTGATGCACCCTCACATGCTTCTTACATTATTAGTCACACCTGAAAAAGATTAACATCTTGTTATAAGACTAATGTACATGAACAGGAATGTACCTTCCCTGGTATTCATTACCATTCACTATAGTTAACAAGGAGAGAGCTTGTGAAAGGACAGATGATGTATGACTAAATTAAAAAACATTACTCTCTCTCTCTCTCTCTCTCTATCTATATATATATATATATATATATATATATATATATATGAAAGATAATGATAGTTTTTAAGGTACGCTATATTCAGATATTAAAAAGAGAAAAGTGATCAATATCAGGGACAGAGCATATGTAAATATAAGCAGTGTGGACATACATATCAACACTGGATGGTGAAATTATGTTCCATGCTGAAATGCATTCATGATGATAGCATTTAAGCCTGTCACTATCCAGCGCTGATACCTATGTTTACACTGCTTATATATATATATATATATATATATATATATATACACACACACACACACACACACAAATATACACATCTTACTCAGATGAGAGCTGCCTTCTCACCACTCACAATACTTGTAATGCCATCCATCTTGTTTCGTCGTCCATGGCACCTAAGATGACTCTTGAGACCAGCATTCGATTTCATAGCTATCATGCATATTTGACAGATAAACTCTATATCCTTGATTGAGTTGATTGGATCCATATCAATAACTCTCCTGGGTACTGACATGTAGTTTCTCAGTTCAGATGATAAACTGCAAAACTTGTTGCAAAGTACATGAGTATTGTCAGCAGGACGATGAGGCAGGTTGGCATAGTTGGCTTGTATCTGGTTGTTATGATGACCTTTCAGATCATTTACATAACCTGCCCCAAACAACAGCATGTGCTCATACACATCACACTTCCAAGACTGCATATTAACTTGCAAATCAGTGTGAGTGCCTCTTTTGGGGTCACACTTGATCTAAGCATGCCTGAGACATTCATTGTCAAAGGTGTTGCATCCCTACCTTATAAAGTGCCTCCTCTCTGTATGATCTAAAGTCAATTCTGCCCAATGCTGCACATCCATGTGCAACGCATTCAGATTATCCTTCAAATTATCCTTAAACCTCTTTCTAGGCTTGTGTTGCGGATGCTTTATTGTCTTCAGTTTCCCATAGATTGCTTGCGAATCTGGTTATTCCCCATTCTCACAATGTGTCCCACCCATCACAGTTGGTTGGCAATCTTGGACATTTGTATTTGCAAAAAAAATTCAGTGTGTCAAAAGGACAGTTTTTCCCTTGATACTGCTATTATTTTAACTACCTTCACTCCTCAGAGTTGTGATAAAACTTAAACATATAATGAAAGGGAATTTATAAATTTTTTGTTCTTGAGAATTTACAACAAAAATATTAAACACTATTTATTTATTAGATTGTTTATTTACAAGAATAATTTTATATTTGCAACATTCTAAAAACTAATACAATTAAGACTAATGCAGTGAGACATTCATCACTTCATCAATTTCTAAAGAAATAAACATCAAAATAATTTTTTATTTATAAATTTATAAACATTTATTAAATTATTAAAATATGTGAACCAAATATAAGTAAATCCTATTTACCATTTTATAAAGTTTGAATCAATTGGCAGTTAGTCAATGTTTTGCCAACCATACCAAAAAACAAAATAAT